AAGTAACTCTACCTCTACATGATCCAATTAGGAAGAAGTCATTTACAGTGCAACTGTTGCATGCTGATGAAGAGGAGTACCATATTAGAGGAATAGGATGGGAGGAATATGTGGCTCAACACAACTTGTTCATTTTCAACGAAACTACTATCTTCGTTAACAAGGTGATTCTAGATCCAACTGCAGAGGTTCAGCTTGTCAACATATCATATCACTATGAAATTACTTATCAGACTGAAGCCAAAAATCAACCCCAAAGGAAACTGAAACTATCAGGCACGACCACAGAGACTAGTTCAGCACCCGCCTCTACTGCTGTGGATAATAGTTCAGCCCCTGCTTCTACTACTGTTGATAATAGTTCAGCACCCGCTTCTAATGCTGTTGATAATAGTTGTGATGATGTTTATTGGCTTGGATGACTGATTGATTGAACCTAGTCTGTCGATTACACAGGATTGGACTTGATGATTGTGTAAGACATTCATCCATTGGGATGAGCCATCAAACTCATAAGTAGTTTTATGCATTTTGTTTAGTTTTATTCTCAAAACCTACAAGTGTAATCTGCAGATATTCATGCTCAGATCATTTACATGTTAGTATATTCTATAGCAATATGAATAATTTGTCCACTAGTTTCTATATATATTCTTTCAATCCGTTCTTAAATGTTAATGCATTCCTTTTAGTAATTTTTTTAACTAGTCGCATATGGAAATGCCTATGGATTTAAGGTTCTTGGGTTGATTAGAGAGTAAAACAGTAAGTACTAACTATTAAACATATATTCTTATTATTTTGATCCAATTCTAAGTGATCAAGCTAATCGATACAATTGGCCTAGTAAAGCTAGTCTTGATGTTACTGTTGTCATATCTTGTAGCTTGGCATTGTCCCACTAGTAGTATGTATATATTTTTGTGGATTCTGTTTATATGTTATGATTATACACAATGGAGGAGCACACAAGTTAATTTTTTACAGATTTACTGTGTATTATTTGCTGCAAGTATGGCCTTAGGTAATGGTTACTCTTTTTCTCACCACAAAATCTAGAATGGGAATTAATCCCTTTGACTTTGATTTTTTGTATTAAAATCATCTATTTTCAAGATTAT